GAGAACACTTAGTCCCTTTTTGAGTGAACAGCCTTTTTTCACTTGCTATATAAAGAAATACAATTAACAAACATTATCCCCAGAGGTGAATTGAAATGTACATGCAGACAATAACCGCTCTTGACTGCAATTAGACATATATGATCCGAGGTATTTTGGCCATTCATTAGTGCTAATTGTTTGAGAAACAAGCCCACAGAACAAATGATTAAAATGTTAGTGCCATAACCAGGATTATTAGCATGTGTGATAAAATGCATGCACCGCAGCTGTACCAATAAAACTCTCCGGCGAGTCGCTTTGATTCGACAAACACTCAGCTCGGCTGCGAGCCCTTCGTATTTGCACAGGGCCTGCTGATGTTTATAACAAACAACTTATATCTTCTTTTCTTAATTAGAAAGAATTACTATGCAAATTGCGGGGCTTTGTAATTTCGTAGAAGTTTCCTTTGTCTTTGATGGATTATTTGCGTGCGGGTTGTGAGCTACTCCCTAGTAAATTCAACATAGGAAGACCATTATAGTTACTCTGGGGGTTTTTTTTTTTGCACATATTGGAGAAATAGTTTGTAGGTGATTTTGCTACATTAGCTGGGTTGTGTTCAGCGAAGTCTTAAGTCCTGGGTCACTTCTGACCTTCTGCCACATCACCACAGATATCCAGGATTGTGGTCAGTACACACTTATGCCCATACAGGTCAGAAATACACATTGGGGAAATTATACAGCTTTTTTAATGGTTTTATTCAGATGCCTACAAATGTTCTTTGTAAACACTTGCCAACACTGTACCAAAAAGACTGTAGGAGAGTTTTGGCCTACTGAGCAATGGATATTTTTCCATGCATTAAGTAGATCACGGTGTAGCATCTCTTAAAGGATGATTTGACCTAGCAATAAACAAGGAACAGACGCAGAGGTTGAAGTGCTGATCCTGAAAATTGCTTATGGGAGTACTTTACTTTGTGAGCTATACATTTTTGGCTCAGATGAGACTGTACAGGTGTGTGTAGTTAAGTATATGTGTGCATATGAGCAACGCTGGAATGTGAAAATCCAGTTTACAGCAGGGAAATGTGTATAATTTGGGGTAATTTAACTGGTTTGCAGTCACACTGTATGGCTGCCATTGCAAAGTGCAATGTCTCTTAGTAATCAAAAGGGGTTTGTTTTCTGCTTCCTGAGGATGAACTATTTGCTCTTGGGTGAAACGGTTCTCAGAGGATCACAGGTAACTTTAACTTGCCAGTTACTTTTACATACTTGATGAAGACTTTAGTAGAGTGTTATGTTTGCAGAAGAAACTTAGTTTCATTTCCTAGACCCAAGAGCATTCAGCATGCTGCTAGATACCATGAATGAAAATACGCTGCTGTAAAACAATTTAATGAGCATTTACCCAATAGCCTAGTCCTTGTTTTAACTTACAGTGCTTAAAGGAAGAAACATTGTCTTAGCAAATTCACTTGGCTTATGTCCATGTGTTTAGTTTAAAGCATAGTCAAGCTTAGTTTGAATCATTAAAATACTTGCAGTCAGGAAACATATGTAAGATTTTCTTCCTCTTTATGGCATGGGGTTAACAATATAATTGAGATTGCAGTGCTGTGTGGGTTTTTTTTGTCCTAAAAAAAGTAACTGCTGGTGATGTTTTTATTTTATCAAAATAACAGAAGTCAAGATAATCAGGATAGTGTTTCCCACCAGAGTTGCTAACTGCTAATATGCATAGCACCATGGGTCTTGCCACTGTTTTAAAAAGATCTGTAGGCAAATGGATTTCTTAATAAATCCACTTCTTCCTCTACATTTCAGTTTATTGTAGAACATAAAATATGACTATGCAAGGAAAATCCACAGTGAGAACAGAAGATTTTTTTTTAAGAATGTATGTCAAAATAACAGCATATGAAAACATTACTGCAGTCACACATAAGCATACTTGTTGGAAACTCTTATTTTACATGTACATTTCTAGAGCTGTCTGTTTTGAAAGAAAACTGCTGTGTCGGTCCACTGACACCAGCTCCTCCTGTACATTTTTTTTTGCTGGCCAGACCTCTTGAAAAATGTATTGCTTCTTCAGCTTGCTAAAATGTTCCATAAGGCTAATAATTTGACACATTAACAGTATGTTTTTATAATAGTCTGTGTCCCAATAAACCTGTGTTTTGGGCCCAGGTAGCTACAAAGTCGATTAGCTGAGAAGGGGATACCAATGGTCACTGGGTATTTCTCCCATAGTATTACATAGTATTGCTATTATACCATAGTAATACATAGTATTGCTAACATTAAGCCTATTAGGTGATTGTATTTTAATGGATTAAATCTACCACTTCTTTGGAGTCAGGCGGTCTGCTGGGGAAACCATACTGCTCCCCCATCCAGATGGAAGTTCATAAACCTCAGTGGTGCCACCTGACTAAATCTGTACTGCAGGCAGTGATGGTTTTACCTACACAATACTACATGCCGTTGTGCATGGTGTGCAGAACAGAGCTGCCTTCCTGGGGCGTGCAGCAGTGAGAGGGTCAAACAGCCCTTGGTTCGATGGCAACCCAGAAGAGATCCTGGGAAACGTGTGACAGGAGATACATCTCCTCTCAGCATGCTCTGAGATTATGGTGTTAGCCACCTCTATTGAGTTTGGAGTTTGGGGTGGGTTGGAGGGTCGATGAGAGGCAGTCCTTAAGGGTGCTTCAGGGGCTGCTTGGCTCTAGGCTGGAGTTAACTATTAATTGGCTGAGCTCTTTGACTCCTTTGTGCTTTTGGAAGCTACAGGGTGGAAGCCATCAGAGAAAGAGAATAGAAACTAATCACTTTTGTCCCCTCATATATGTTTAGTGAAGGGCTGTAGACTTCTTTACTGACCTCTGTGTCACACTGAAAAAAGACCCTCCTCTTTCCATTTGCGATAAACCACTCTTCCACCTCCTCCTTGCTCTCCCAAAGTGTACTACTGCAAGAAAATGGGATTAAGTGGATTTAATTAGCAGCCACTTGAGTTGCCACAAGTTGTGTTACTGTCCCCTCTTCAACATGAAGCCGGGGATATGAAGTGGTTTGTGGGAGAGAGGCAAAAGGGTACTTAGAAGAGACCCAGTGGATCTCAGTTGCATGTCTCCAGGCGTTGTCAGGACTTCCATTACCTGAGTCTTGAAGCTGTTGCAGTTAGAAATGAAGATGGATTAGCAAGGGTAGCACTGGCACTTGTAATAAAATAATGTATCATTTCTGCTTAACAGCAAAGCTACCCCGTTTCTTAGACATAAGCATTACCAGGCATATTACAAAGAAGAGTCTGACTCTTGTAAAGTGGTTTCACCCAGGACGTGCAGAGGCACAGCAGAGGAGATGGTGGAATAGTCGTCCTCTTCAAGTTAGTTTACTGAGATAAAATGTGACAAAAGCTTTCTTCATATTTTCAACTCAAGACTTATATTCAGCGTTTAGGGTACACACTCTGGGGAACGAGAGGGTTCTTCGACGAGGTTAGAAAGGCAAGTATTGTAGTGGTCTGTCAGCGACACACCACGTTGGCTCTGATTTAGATTGACTGAACTCATTTCCAAGCATTTGAGAGGGTTAGTCATGTTCCCTTTGAAGAAAAGCCACGTGCGCCTGTAGCCATGTGTCATCCAAGTGTAGCAACTTGGGAAGCATTATTAAGAGGGGCACAGAAAAATGCATGGGTCCCTGACATGATGCGATAATGACATGTTCAGCGTGGTGCTAGAAAAGCTTTGCATTATTCAAAGTGCTGAATAATATACATGATAATGCATAATGGTGTTATATGGTAGGATTATTTTGTGGCATAAGTGACTTGTGCTCTGAGTATGAAGGCAAATTGTATTATTTTGTCCTCATTCTTGATGTAGCAGAATAGGCTTGTGGGGTACAGCGTGAAATGGGGAGGAACAGGAGCAGGCAAGAGTTGGTGGTTTTTTTGGAAGGCCATGAAACACAGTGGCACCCTCTGCAATTTATTTCTCTGTGCTTGTAATTATGGAGCAAAGCAAGCTCCCTACCGCACCCGGGGGCAGCCTCCCCCAGCAGCCCCACTGCTTCAAAGTGCACCGGCTCAGCATCTGCCTGGGTTGGGTTAGCTGGTCCCTCACCAGGAATACCAACATGGGGTGGAGACCACCACAAACCTGATGCCTACGGACCCTACGGATGCCACCCGCTCAGGCTGTGTGGCACCACAGGCTCACACCTGCACTGATGTGTGGTGCACAAAGCATTTATAAATTGTAAAAGCCACCACAGCTAACAGCCTGCTGATGATGCTGGTGGGTTCATGAGCTCTGTCGATGGAAGTCTGTGCTGTGGATCTGCAGGTCTGAATGCTTCTGAGAGGACATGTTTGCATTACATGGGTTTTCATTCCTGTTTTTCTCATCTCCCCCTCCATCCATTTTACTTATTTAAAATTTGCATGCAAATATGTTTGTTGATATAACGCTAAGGTTGAGAAATCAGCTTTGCAAACCCATGTTTGTTTTAACCAGCACCCTGCTTCATTCACAGCATGCCATCCAGCTCCTGGAGCAAAAGCACCAGATAGCAGCCTCCTCCCTAAATCACTCCCCATCCTTTCCCAGCACAGCCTCCATCCTATGGAGGAGTCCTATGACAGGGGAAAAACAACTGCCACCCTTCTGTATTTAATACTTGCCATAGGGCACAGAACAGGCAGCAAAATTAAGGCTGTACGAATAACCTCAGCCCTGGCAGTTCGTCAGTTCTGAGTGTTTTAAGTTTGCAACTTCTTTTGAACATAGTAGTTTTGGAGGTTTATTAACTGTAACACTGATATCTCCCTACCTTGACTCTTCCTAAGGAAAAAAAAAAATATATATGTAAATAACCCTAAACCAACCATTTATCTAGACAGGAATGTTTCTCTTTTAAAATATAGTCAAGTATTCTTTGCAGCATCATAGCCTAATTCTAATTTCTAATGTCTAATTTCAACAATATCCTTTACAGGGTGGAATCTCCTCTGCCAGCTGGTGTTCCTAAGCTTAGTTATCGCTTTGTATCATCTCACAAGTACATTCCCAGGCGAGCTGTGCTGTATGTACCTGCAGATGATGAGAAGAAGATACGAAAAATCCCATCACTAAATGTAGATTGTGCGGTGCTGGACTGTGAAGATGGCGTGGCTCTGAACAGAAAGGTAATTAAAAATTATCTGTGCGATACAATCAGTGCTAAAAAGAACTTGTGGAAAAACATTGCCTTTGCCTTGGGGAAGTGCCAACCAGAGAGATAAAGATAAATCTTAAGATAGTAATGCAGTAATGATGTAGCAGTGATAGGCTTTGTGAAGGCATTGGGAAAATCTGATTACCCAGCACTGAAAGAGATCACATGTGAGTGAGTAGGGAGGTATTTTTGAAGGACTACAGAGCTGGGTGTAAGCTCTTATCACAGAAGAGTGGGAGATACTGTTATTATTGCTGCATATTTCATAGGGAAGAGGAAGAAATGGACAGTGAAAAGAGAAGCAAAAAATGGTTCGTTCAGAATCACCAGGTGGGGGGGGTTGTTGTTGAAACAAAAGTGTTTAGAAAGATTTGCTTACTAAACTTTTTGGAAGAAATGCTGTTAAGGGTGTTTCTGAAGGAAAGAGAAGTTCGACCCTGAGTGCACGAGGGTCTGGAGAGAGTTTTTGAATTAGAGTATAAGTTTGCCATCATTTTTGCATCATTTTTATGTTTGTCAGTTTTCCTGTCCATTTACAGTGTTTCAAACTGGAGCAAGCACTGTTTAGGGTTTGAATATGAATGTGTTGTCCAGGAAGTAATGAAAATAGACTTGAAAAATTTCCTGTGTCATCTCAAAAAACGTGGATGAAATTTTATTTTTTTCTGTTTCTTGGGAGGTAATGCTTTCCAGAAGGACTCTCTTGGGTAGTCCTCCCTTTAACCTTCAGGTCTTGAAAAGAAAAATGTTTACAGAGTTTGTATGTATCTATTTTAGTTTTGAAAAGTGAGAATACTGTTGCTAAATGTTCATGTGTACTGCTGAAGACAATTGGAAAACATTTTCCAGTTGCTAGAATACTATATGAAAGACTAAGATTGTATCTGCTGGCACCATGATGTAATACTGTTTAGGTCAAACCAGGACAGGAGGCTACTGCTGTGAGATGACACAAGTCAAAATTGTGTATTAAACTGTAGTATTTTTAGGTGCAGCTTAGTTATATAAAACGCATCATTAATAGCAGAAGCATCTGTTTGTAACAGAGATGACAGCAAAACAAAATTTTATGATCAAGGTTACGAAGTTGATAGAGTAATTTCTCAAGGGTAAAATTCTAGCTCGGTTGGAATGGAATTATGCCACTGGGTATCAGCTCCACAGAGAGAAGAGGAAAGACCCATTGCATCCGTTGGAGCTGAGTAAGGCAACTCAGTCTGCTCCCTGTACTGAGACTGGGAGTGGGAGAATGAGGAACTGCCCACTGTAGGAGAAGACCAGGTTCGAGACATCTAAGGAACCTGAAGGTGCACGAGTTCGTGGGACATGATGAGATTCACCCCCGGGTCCGGAGGTAACTGCTGGATGAAGTTGCTTAGCCACTGTCCATCATATTTGAGAAGTGGTGGAAGTCCAGTGAAGTTCCCGCTGACTGGAAAAGAGGAAACATAACCTCCATTTTTAAAAAGGGAAAAGAGGAAGACCCGGGGAACTACAGGCTGGTCAGTCTCACTTCTGTGCCCAGCAAGATCATGGAACAGATCCTCCTGGAAACTATGCCCATGGAAAATAAGGAGGTGATTGATGACAGCCAACATGACTTCACTAATGTCAAATCATGGCTGACAAATTTGGAGACCTTCTGTGATGGGGTTGGTGAATAAGGGAAGAGCAACTGACATCATCTACCTGGACTTGTGCAAGGCATCTGACGCTGTTCTGCATGACATCCTTGTCTCTAAAGAGAGACACAGATTTGAAGGATGGACCACTCGGTGGATAATGAATTGACTGGATGGTCACAGAAGTGTTGTCCAGGCACGTAGGGAGAGAATGAGGAAGGTCAAAGCTTGGCTGGAATTAAAATGGGTGAGGGATGAGCAGGACAAGAACAGCTGCTATAAGTCTATCAGCAGCAGCAAAAATGAGAAGGAAGACCAGAGCAAGCGTGGAACCACTGCTCCATGAAGCCTCATGACTGTAAAGTCAGAGTCTGCTCTCAGGCCTCCTAGGTCATATCCTTGAAGCAAACTTGGGTGAGGAAGGTAGCAGCCACAGTAGGGGAGGATGGAGTTAGGGTCTATTCAAGTAAGTTGGCTGGTATCATCCTGAAGCTGCTGTCTGTCATCATGGAAAGATCATGGTGGCTGGAGGAGGTTTCTGATGCCTGGAGAAAGGCAAATGTTACAGCCATCAACAGAAGGGTTAAGACTGAGGAACTACAGGCCCATCAACCTGACACTAGTCCCCAGGAAAGGGATAGTGCTGATTCTCATGGAAGGTATTTTACGGTGCACAAGGACCTACCCAGAATGGACTGCTCAGGAGCAAATCACGACTGACAAACCTGATTGCCTTCTCTGAATAATTTACTGTCTTTGAGTATGAAAGCTGAATAGATGTTGTCCACCTTGACTTTAGCAAGGGTTTTGACAAGGCCTCTTGTAGGATCCTGGTTGTCAGTCTGAGAAGAAATGGACTGAAGGGACAGACTATAAAGCGCATGGCAGTTTGGCAGGAATCAGGTGGTCTGCATTGTGCACTGTTTTGTACTTACCTTTGCTGGGGCCAATACTGTTTAACTTCTTCATTAGCAATCTGGTTGATGGGATGGAGTGCATTCTCACCAGGTTCACAATGAAACCAAATTGGGGTGCAGTTGATATGCTGGAGGGCACAGCTGCTCCTCTGGTGGCTCTTTACAGCTGAAGGAACAGCATGACAGAAAGGTAATTAAGTCCAACAAAAGTAACAAGTGAATTCCCAACATCAGGCTGGGGTAAACCCATGCACCAATACAGGCTAGGGGATGACTGTCTGGGGCCACTCTGCCAAAATGGCCCTGGGGGCTGTTTTCCAGCAAGCTGAGCAGGCTCAGTGGTGCACCCTTGCAGCAAAGGTGGCCAACCACCTCCAGGGCTGTGCTGGCATGGGTGCAGCCAGCAGGTCCAGGGAAGGGCATTCCTCCCCTCCACTTGGCTTTTGAGGGTCTCCCTTGGGAGGGCAGAGGATCATTCCCAGCTGTGAGCCCTGGGACGAAAGAGATTGACCAATGGGAGGGAGACCAGGAAGAGCCACCGGGGTGGTCATGGCACAGGAGGAGAGGCTGAGGAGCTGGGTTTGTTCATCCTGGAGAAGAGACAGCTGAAGGGGCCTTGATGGAGGCTTTGCTGCCTGAGGGAAGCTGGATGGATGGCAGAGCCAGACTCTTCTCAGAGGAGCTCACAACAGGGCAAGAGCAGTGTCCACAGGTTGCCTGACTGGACACAAGGGAAAAAAGTCTTCCCCATGCAGGTGGTCAGACACTGGAAGAGGTTGTCCAGAGCGGTGGTGCATCCTTCATTCATGGGGATATTCAAGCCTTGGCTGGATGAGGCTCTGAGCAACCTGATATAGAGCAGTAGTAAACCCTGCTTGGAGGAGGTGGATGGATGAGGTGGTCTCCTGAGGGCCCTTCCAACCTGAATTAGACTGTGTGATTGCATGATCTAGTAGCAAAGCATAATTCAAACTGATTGGAAGGTTGAATTTCATTTTTAGATCTGCCAGAGATACTCAGGAAGACTTTGAGGCTTAGGTTCTGTGAATGTGAAGCTGAAATTATTATTGCTCTTGCAGCTTAATTTATTAATGTTTCTGAGGTGTTTGGAGACTTTGTGTGAAAGATATGTCAAGAACATGCACTGAAGTACAGTATTCAGTGGCCCATTGCAAATGGGTCATCTGAAACTGAGATGGAAAACAACAGTGGGGAACACAGCAACACCGAGTCTGTCCTTCAATTATTATTCTTAAAATAAATAGTACTGATGAATTTGACTATTTATTGCTGTATTTCATATGAATAAAAATGCTACTTATGTATTTTCTTGAAACTGCTGCCAAAATGTTGGGTTTGGGGAAAATCAGGACCTGGTTAAAGGTTCATGATGCCTTAGGCCAAACTTATCTGTCTACAGAAGGCCTTCAAGTCCAAGCAGCATGTTTGAACCACATCTTAACAAGTCTATTTTAACAAGACACTGTGTGCTTTGTATTAGGATTGAGTTAGATTTGGGGAGATCAAGAATCTGGAATGACAGCAGCTCCATTTCGTTGCTCATTTAGAGGGAAATCAGGAAGATGAGTTTCCTGTAACTGGAACTGATAACATTTGCAAAACTGCATCTGGTTGCAGTAGGTGCTTTTGAAGCTGCAGTCATAAGTTTAAAATCTTTAAACTAATCTTTAACTATTTTCTATACAATATTTCAATGAAATTTTGGAAGGTATCTTCACCTGTGCCCTCCCCCCACAATTATGTTTTGTAATGGCTCACAGAGAGCACCAGGAAAGGGGAGCAAATAGCCATAGCCATTTTGGTGCATGCATTTCTTATCTCCAAGAGCTACAGCACTGATCATGATTTCAGGTATCATCTGTTGACTTCTTCCTTTCAATCTTTTTTTCTAGTTGATATCTAGTTGGTTTTGGTTTGTGGTTTTTTGTTTTTTTTTTTATGTGGTTGGACTCGATGATCTCGGAGGTCCCTTCCAACCACTAAGATTCTGGGATTCTGGGATTCTGTGATATTTTGACTAAATAAAAAAAAAATACTTGCAGCAAGAAGTTCACAAGGAGAAAATTTCTCAACAAATTTTCAGGGGGGAACCAGTGGGAAGAAATGGCTAAAAAGCCAAGTTACAGTATGCTGCATACTAAGTCTGCAAGTAGAGTGAGAGTTGATTCTGGTGCGAGTAGGACATGTGGGGCTTTTACAACCCCTTGGGACTGGACAGAGCTGAAGGAGGTCTTCAAAAATTCAGAATAGGGAAGACGATAGGAAAATATCCCAGTGTTGCTGAAAATTTCAGCCTTCTTTTATAAAGTTAGCTTTAGTCTTGCTGACTTCAAATCCTGGCTGGGTCTCCACACACTGTTTTTAGACATTTGAATGCATAGCATCATGTCGTGTGGACTGTCAGCTGCCTC